GAAAATGACTGCCCCGTCCCCCCCAAAAAAAGAAAGAAAATGACCCAGAGGGGTGGAGAAGTGAGGAGAACGTGAGGCTCAGGTGCCAGCCATGTCTGAGGAGCCACCCCAGACAGGGACTGATCAGGTCACTGTGAGGCTGCAAGGACATGTCCTCCTCACTTCAGACAGTGGTCCTGATGCTTGCTTTCTGCTCTTCTTCTGCTTCCAGGAAAATGACCTTCTGAAAACTGACTGGTCACAGCACCAGAATTAGACTTCCCTACGAGTCAAACAGGGTTTGGCTGCAACTTACAATTCATTTTCACTTCCAACATAATATGCTTTTTATACAGTGGAAAGACATGACTTAAGAATGACAGGCAGATTTGGGTTAGACTTCTTCCAACCACTAACTCAATATATGCAAGCTTATATCCTTTTATTATTAAATTGGTACTAAATCAGATTTTAGTCTGATGGTGATTGCAGCCATGAAATTAAAAGATGCTTACTCCTTGGAAGGAAAGTTATGACCAGCCTAGACAGCATATTAAAAAGCAGAGACATTACCTTGCCAACAAAGGTCCATCTAGTCAAGGCTATGGGTTTTCCAGTGGTCATGTATGAATGTGAGAGTTGGACTACAAAGAAAGATGAGCGCCGAAGAATTGATGCTTTTGAACTGTGGTGTTGAAGAAGACTCTTGCGAGTCCCTTGGACTGCAAGGAGATCCAACCAGTCCATCCTAAAGGAGATCAGTCCTGGGTGTTCATTGGAAGGACTCATGTTGAAGCTGAAACTGCAATACTCTGGCCACCTGATGTGAAGAACTGACTCATTGGAAAAGACCCTGATGCTGGGAAAGATCGAGGGCAGGAGGAGAAGGGGATGACAGAGGATGAGATGGTTGGATGGCATCACCAAGTCGATGGACAAGAATTTGAGCAAGCTCCAGGAGTTGGTGATGGACAGGGAAGCCTGGTGTGCTGCAGTCCACGGGGTCACAAAGAGTCGGACATGACTGAGCAACTGACTGAGCAACTGAACTGACTGATTTTCCATGAAGTGATGGGACCGGATTCGGTGATCACTGTTTTCTGAATGCCGAGTTTTAAGCCAGTGTTTTGAGTTTTCAACTCAACTTACCAGGGCTTCTAAGAAAACTCGGTCCCAGCTGCAATGCCGCCCCACTACCCCGCCCTGTAGCCTTTAACCCTGACACTTGGTTTATCAGCCATCTTGCTGGCAGGATGTGGATGCAGCTATGACCCAGGTAAAAGCGCTTTCTATACATCCCTCCAGTTGGCCACCTTGCCTCTCCCCCAAAGATCCGATTATTATCACAGCACTTTTTCGACCTGGTCCCTTCTTCTTTGGTGATACTACCACAGTTTGTTCACTTTCAACAGCAGCCCATTTCTGCATACGGTAAATTGCCCCTTTCTGCCACTGAGCACAACAAACATATGGGTTCAAACAGCTTTACTTCTGCACGATTATCCTGTCAGCCAAGTCAATTCGGTTTACGACATTAGAGTCACTTCCATGGAACAGACTGAAGCCATAACGACGGACTCATTCCAAGGACTATAATCATTAGGCATGGCAACCAAAACAAATCTTTAAAAAAAAAAACTTTATGAAACTACTTTGGGCTTACATGTCTTCCTTGACACATTATTTTACATTTTTTTTTTCCTGATAAAGTTGAATTGTGATTTTCAGCTATATAGAAAACCACACCGATAAGATGGCCCTTCTAAAATCAGGAAGACATAAACTTACCAGAGAGTTTATGTCAACCTCTGTAACAGTGAAAGGAGAACAAATGGTCCAGGGAACCCAGAAACAATCTCCATGTAACTCTTATGTAACAGGGTCCAAAAGAAAGGAGAGGATACTCTCAAAGTCAAACAATGAAGCCCACTAAACAATCTTTGACTTAATGCCCTGCTTCTTATGGGGTCTGGACAAGTTCATTAAAAAGGCAGTGAAGTCTGACTTCAGAACTGGCTGCTGTCCAGAGAGAGAGAATTTACAGGTATCATCAAAAGAAAGGGATGACAGTAATCAATATGACGTGAACACGGCAGAGAACAAGCCTATTGCATGATCTTAAGGATGGAGAGAGGAAGGTCAGGGTAGTCCCCTCAGACCCCAGTCAGACTCAGCCCTCAAGGATGCAGACGAACCTCACCATCTGTCTGATCGTAAATCCCCTCCCCAATATCGGCTCAATGTGGAGTGCCCTGGAGACCCTGGGACCCAACAACCTGAGCTTGGCATTTTCCAGCAGGAAATGCAGAGAGAGGAATTTGATCGCACATGGCCTGAAAGACAGAAAACAGGTGACAAAGCTAAGGATTTTGGGGTCTGAGGATGTGACCCTATGCTCTGGGCCTCATGGCAAACCTCTCATTTCACACAGGGAGAAACCGAGCTAAGGCTGGAGAAGTGACTGGGTTCAGGGCCCAGAGCTGTGGGTGGAGTCCGAATCCAGAGCCCTGATGCCAAGTGCAAGGCTCCCCAGGCTGCCCTGGCATATGTGGAGCCCGTGTGCTCGCTTGGGTCCCGCCAGCTGCAGGGCCAGAGGGAAGGAGGTGCCTGCTGGAGCTGGCACCCACTCCCTCCTTCCCATCCCGCAGCACCCTCACCCAAGGCAGGACTCACAGGTGGCTGAACACATGGAAGGCACTGCATTTCGGCCAAGGGGGCAGGGGGGTGGTAACTGTAGACAGCCATTTCCAGAACCCAACTGACAGACTTCCTCCCAACAAACCGAGCTACTGGGGGCAATGGACCACCCGAGTGAGGCGAGTGCTTTCCATGCGGTGCTTATTGAGTCACTGAAGCAAGTTCATACCTCACCTCGGTATGCATACCACTTTGCACTTACAGAGCAGCCTTGTCTGTCTCTAAGAAGTTAATATCTATGTCATATTTCTTCAATCATTTAATAACTTGGCATGGTGGCTAGGATAAGCATCCTTATTTTACAAACTGAAACCTGCACAGAGGTCAAAGGGTGAGCTCTGCATCCCACATCACTGTGTCAGAGGCGGTATTTCCAAACTTGGAAATCAAGTTGGTTTCTCCCACTTGATTTTTTTGCCTGTTCTTGGTACATACTCCAACTGGAAAATTCCTCCCCAGTGAACTCTTGTTGTGAAAATGGAGAAATACCCACCCCAGTTTCAGGGGCTGTACTACGAACACTATCCAGTCTGCCGTTCCCCTCCCCTACAAGCCATGGTCCCCTGTGGGGTCCGGGTGACAGACCAGTGCAAGCCCCATGGTCATCAGAAGGGTCCTCCTCCTTCTGGTCGTCTCAAAAGAGAGCACCCCTCTCATCTTAAGATGAGAAACACGCTAAACCTCACTGCTCATCTTGCAAAGCAAAACACTTAGAAATGAAATAAAAAATCCAGCTTGAAACCTCTCTTCAAAATGCTGCAGAGCCAACATCTGGTTATTACTTAGTACTTCTGGTTAGGAAATATCTTTATTTATCCGGCAGCACTTTATAGAAGTAGCGAAGTATTGGGAATCGTACAATATCCCGTATACCCATGTGGAATGGTCACAGCTGTGCTTCCTCATTCCACACAAACATGGCCTGGAGACACATCTACATAGAAGCACAATAAACGATCACCGCACACACCCAGATGGGCCATCTCATCCCAGGACACAGAGGCATGGGCTGCTGTGACACTCTTTTCCCCTCACTGCTCTGAAGGCAGCAGAACTTCAGCCAGCAAAACAAAGACCCCACAGGAACAGCCCGCTCCTGCCAGGCACCCCTCCCTGCTCCCGGACCCTGACCTCCACCTGCCAACGCTGACATTTACCCAGACTCCCTCTGGTGTGCTGGCTGGACCCCAGAGAAGGGAACTCGTCAACATGGTTCAGAGCACCTCGGAGATTTTCAACCGCCTCAACATCTCACAGCCCTTGATCGGTGCAGCCACTGTTTCAAGTCTCTGTCTTGGCTGACCCAGAGTAACTGTTCTACTGAAGCTGTCATTCGCTGAAGGGGTGAAAAGGAGAGGCCCTGGCGTTTATAAATACACCCTGCAATGTAACAGGATTCGAAGAGATGGGCGTTCTCTGAATATGTGGGCCTTTAAATGATGTAGGGTCTTAGAAAAGTCCATTTTGTACAGTGCATGTGATCAGAAACTCTTAACATCAAGCTTCCCTCGTGTAAGCCAGCATTTGTTCTTTTCCTTTAGAATATCTTCAGGCTGCCTGCCAGGCTGTCCCAGCCACACTGACAGAGCCCGCCTGCCGAGTTTCCTTATTATTAAACACTGTGGAGCAGGAACCCTGGGCCAAGTGCAGTCAGTCATTCAGTACCACTGGCACTGTGAACTGACAGAGTTATCCTGTGTGTCATGGGACCAAGGTGCACATGCAGAACAATCTGCCTCCCTAATGAATCACAGGAAGGAGAGACCATAACTGGACTGAAAAGTAACTCTCAGACTCAGCCATGTCCCTGGGATATGACTTGGCCTCCATCGGGAACCTGACTGACGGGTAAAAGAGTTCACCCTATGGCTGCAGAAACAGCCTGTTACCCAGTGTTCACGGCACTGCTGTCCTGAGTGATGCACACATGCCCCCACTTAATGCGGTTTGGAAACGCCCCATGGTCTGGGCTCTCTGGCCCTCTGTATCCTAACTGGTTTGCAAGGAACCCTGGGCCTCAGTGTGTGGGCAGGTGGCTGTCCTCTCTTGACACGGGCCTCTGGCTGATTCTTACAGTCAAGGGCTCGAGCAGCATAATTATAACGATGGGTCTTCACCAGTTGGCCTGCGCCTACTCAGAATGTCTCCTGTTTTGCCTTCTCTTCAGGCATTGCCAGCAGGCCTGCGAGTGGCCCTCCAGGCAGGCACCACTCTTGAGACCTGATAAGTGACACTCAGTTCCTCCCAATTCTCACGGCCTCACTGTAAGAGCCCATAGTACTGACCACGTCAGACTGCTGCTCCCCCCAGAACCAGCCACTGACCTTGGGGTTGGTGCGTTGCTGCAGTCGCCTCTCCTCCCTCTCGCGCTGCAGCCGCTCAAACTCTTCTCTGATCTCGGCTGGCGTCCTCCTCCTTTCCACAACCTTTGGGTAGAAGTGAGAGAAGTCAGTTGAGGACCCAGACGGTGAGAAAGACTCAAAAGACGCGAGTGTTAACCGTGTCCTGGCGCTCTTCTCCCCTGGGTCCGTGAGGGCCCCCAGTGAGACCAGGGGACCTTCCTGTCCAACCGTGTGGCCCCCAGTAAAGCCAGATTCTCCTTCACACCTGCTCAGTCCCCAGTCTGTGCTCTTCCTCAGCACTCCAGACTGAGGTGATATTTTTTTGGTCACTTGTCTCCAAGGCGGCAGGAATCTTACTAAGAAAATGTCACCTCAAGTGTCACAGTTTAAATTTTCCAAAGAGCCCACCATAATGCAGGCTGAAAGAAATGTCCAGAGAGGGGCGAGGCCTCCGCAACAGCCCTGGCACATTTCCTTTGGGCTGGGCCTCCATCAGGGGCGCCCTTTGAGCTTCCTAGACCAACAACCTTAGGCCACAAGGTCTCAGTGTTTTAGCAGTAGGGGACTCTTCCTTCTACAACCTGAAATGAACCTTAGGATGTACGATGTCAGCTCTATATTGTTGGAGCATAAACAATACTCAGGTACCAATCGGCAGCCCTTGAGGACATACAGGGATGTCAGGCCTGTGAGCAGGTAAGGCATCCCACCTCAATCTTTCTTCAGTTCAGCTCAGCTCAGTTGCTCAGTCGTGTTTGACTCTTTGCAACCCATGGACTGCGGCATGCCAGACCTCCCTGCCCATTACCAACTCCTGGAGTTTACTCAAACTCATGTCCATTGAGTTGGTGATGCCATCCAACCATCTCATCCTCTGTCGTCCCCTTCTCCTCCTGCCTTCAATCTTTCCTAGCATCAGAGTCTTTTCCAATGAGTCAGTTCTTCACATCAGGTGGCCAAAGTATTGCAGTTTCAGTTTCAGCATCAGTCCTTCCAATGAATATTCAGGACTTATTTCCTTTAGGATGGACTGGTTGGATCGCCTTGCTGTCCACGTGACTCTCAAGAGTCTTCTCCAATACCACAGTTCAAAAGCATCGATTCTTTGGTGCTCAGCTTTCTTTATAATCCAACTCTCAAATCCACAAATGACTAATGGAAAAACCATAGCCTTGACAAGATGGGCCTTTGTTGGCAAAGTCTCTGCTTTTTAATATGCTGTCTAGGTTGGTGATAACTTTTCTTCCAAGGGGCAAGCATCTTTGAATTTTATGGCTCCAGTCATCATCTGCCGTGATTTTGGAGCCCCCCAAAATAAAGTCAGTCACTGTTTCCATTGCTTCCCCATCTATTTGCCATGAAATGATGGGACCAGATGCCATGATCTTAATTTTCTGAATGTTGAGTTTTAAGCCAACTTTTTCACTCTCCTCTTTCACTTACATCAAGAAGCTCTTTAGTTCTTCACTTTCTGCTGTAAGGGTGGTGTCATCTGCATATCTGAGGTTATTGATAATTCTCCTGGCAATCTTGACTCCAGTTTGTGCTTCACCCAGCCCAGTGTTTCTCATGATATACTCTGCATATAAGTTAAATATGCAGGGTGACAACATACAGCCTTGACGTACTCCTTTCCCAATGTGGACCAGTCTGTGTTCCTCGTCCAGTTCTAACTGTTGCTTCCTGACCTGCATACAGATTTCTCAGGAGGCAGGTCAGGGGGTCTAGTATTCCCATCTCTGTCCAAGGCTTTGGCATAGTCAATAAAGCAGAAGTAGGTGTTTTTCTGGAACTGTCTTGCTTTTTTGATGATCTAGCAGATGTTGGCAATTTGATCTCTGCTTCCTCTGCCTTTTCTAAATCCAGCTTCAACATCTGGAAGTTCATGGTTTACGTACTGTTGAAGCCTAGCTTGGAGAATTTTGAGCATTACTTTGCTAGCCTGTGAGATGGGTGCAATTGTTGCGGTAGTTTGAGCACTCTTTGGCATTGCCTTTCTTTGGGATTGGAATGAAAAGTGACTTTTCCAGTCCTGTGGGCCACTGCCGAGTTTTCCAAATTTGCTGGCATATTGAGTGCAGCACTTTCACAACATCATCTTTTAGGATTTGAAATAGCTCAACTGGAATTCCATCACCTCCACTAGCTTTGTTTTTAGTGATGTTTACGAAGGTCCACTTGACTTCGCGGGATGTCTGGGCTCTAGATGAGTGATCACACCATTGTGATTATCTGGGTCGTGAAGATCATTTTTGTATAGTTCTTCTGGGTATTCTCACCACCTCTTCTTAATATCTTCTGCTTCTGTTAGGTCCATACTGTTTCTGTCCTTTATTGTGCTCATCTTTCCATGAAATGTTCCCTTGGTATCTCTAATTTTCTTGAAGAGATCGCTAGTCTTTCCCATTCTATTGTTTTCCTCTATTTCTTTGCATTGACTGAGGAAGGCTTTCTTATCTCTCCTTGCTATTCTTTGGAACTCTGCATTCAAATGGGTATATCTTTCCTTTTCTCTTTTACCTTTCATGTCTCTTCTTTTCACAGCTATTTGTAAGGCCTCCTCAGACAACATTTTGCCTTTTTGCATTTCTTTTTCATGGTGATGGTCTTGATCCCTGCCTCCTGTACAATGTCACGAACCTCTGTCTATCGTTCTTCAGGCACTGTCTATCAGATCTAATCCCTTGAATCTATTTCACTGTATAATCATAAAGGATTTGATTTAGGCATACCTGAATAGTCTAGTGGTTTTCCCTACTTTATAGCTCATCCAAAAGCAAGACAGTCTCTGAGATTTCAAACAGGTTGGGAAGGGCCAGATGGGTCTTGAGTACCACACCTGTGAGAGAGGAACCTGCACCACGTGATTCCCAAGGGCCCCAAAAGCTGCAGGTCCATGAGGGACACTGAGAGTGGGCGCAGGATAGACACCATCAAGGTCATTGGAGGAAAGGGTCAAACAGTCCTGACCTTGTGGTAGTGGGAGAAACATAGGGGAGACCAGAGGGGCTACTCGGAAAACACCTACAAAGGCAGTTGATGTGAAAGAAAGTTATCTTGGAAATCACAAGTTTTAAAAATTATTCAAAAAATGCATGCTTATAGCAAGAAGTCAAAATGGTACAGAAAAATATGAAGTAAAAAGGTACAGTCCCTCCCCATACTCCTTCTCACAGGCTAACAATTTTTTATGTATCTTCCTAAAAACCTATGCACATGTATGAATATATATATTAAAATTAGCAGGGTCATATTACAGGCTTTGTGCAACCTGATTTTATTATTTGGCAATCCAGAAAAATAAATACAGGAGCTGGCCTATCCCCCCAAAATTGAGAAATCTGTTCACTACCACTTTCAGCAAGTAAACAGAAAAAAATAATGAAAACACTTTCTCCTCTCCCATATAAATTGTTCATTACCAAAAAGGGGCAGGTGTTTCTTTTAAAGGAGGTTTCAAAATAAAAACACTGTTAAAATAAGCTAAGCACTGAAAGTCCAAATGGCACAGCAATGACTGCCCTGTGACCTCACAAAAACGTCCTCAGTGGTACTGAACTAACGCGGCCTGCTCACAACGCTACTGCTTAAAAACACTCAGCCTTGCCCATCTTTTCTTTTTTTTGTCCAAGCCCCTTGGCTTATGTAATCTTAGTTCCTGGACCACAGATTAAACCTGGGTCTCAGATAGTGAAAGTATGCAGTCTTACCTACTGGACTGCCAGGAGGTGCCCGTGCACATCTATTTATGGCGCTTTCACTTCCCCAGAGTCACCCCATCTTGGACTGATGGGGTGCTCCCTCCACGGGGCCCAAAGCAGAACAAGATTTATTTTCAACACTTCCAGCTGTGTGACTTTTGCAAATGACTTTCTCTGCCACACTGTGTGACAGAATGAAGAGGCAAATATTCCAAAGGTGTTATGTCACTCTGTTTCTAGTCTATTTGACAGAAGTTTTGCAAACAGTTGGTACAAAATCAGAGCTAACAGCAGAGTCAAGCTGGCTGGCCACTCTAGAGGTGTGAACACCTTGGCTGGGCATCTCATTCTAACTCCCATGGGGCCCTTTACTATTTATTTTTTCAAAAAAACCATTTGTTTACTTCTTTTATTTTTGGCTGGGTCTTTGTGTTGCAGAGAGCGGGGGTTACTCTGCAGCTGTGGTGCATGGGTGCTTCTCACTTCTCATTGCGGTGGCTTGTTGCGATGGAGCACACAGGCTCTAGAGCACAGTCTCAACAGTTGTGGCCCACAGCCTTAGTGGCTCCATGGCAAGTAGGGCCTTCCCGGGCCAGGGATCCAACCTGTGTCTCCTGCATTGGCAGGGAAATTCTTTACCACTGCCACCAGGGACGCCCCCCGCCCTTTACTGTTTACACCCTTCTCTATACAGAGAACATCATGGTGGAGAGTGGAAGATGCCTAATCCAGCTGCAAGTCACTTTTTCTTCCCTTGGGTAACCCTTAGATACACGCACCTGGAACACAGCATCTGAAAGCACGTTAAATTGGAAAGTACAGTTGAAAAGATATTTTCAATACTTTTCATCAGTGAAGTGTATCACATGCAGCCCATGAGTCTGTACACCTGCACGGTCTGCCCTGATCACTTATCAGCTAGGTCTATCCTGTGCTAGCCAGATGACTTATCCTTTAGATGAGGGGATGCAGAGACCAGTAGAAGCAGGTGGCGCAGTGGGAGGAGGACAGAGACCCAGGCTTTCCGACATCACCTGAACCTCCTGGAGAACTCAGGTGAGTCACTTTACAAAGTGGACTTTCACTTCAGCTTCCTCCTATAAATGCTTCTAAACTACACAGTGTATGCATGCCAGGTAACTTCAGTCATGTTCAATTCTTTGCCACCCCATGGACTGTAGTCCACCAGGCTCCTCTGTCCATGGGACTTTCCTGGCAAGAATACTGGAATAGGTTGCCATTCCCTTCTCCAGGGGTTCTTCCTGATCCAGGGATAGAACCCAGGTCTCTTACATCTCCTGCATTGACAGGTGGGTTCATTACCACTAGTGCCACCTGGGGCATTAAAATCACATGAGGTGCTGTCTGTTCTATGATTCTGGTTAGACAACCTTTAACTCTGGAATAATTTTAGAAAATTATTTAGAACTTTAGAGAAGCTATGAAGATGGTACAGAAAGTTCTCATCTACCCTTTACCCAGACTCCTCCAAATGTGAACGTCTTACACAACCAGGAACAAACAACTGTCAAGTCCAGGATGCCAACATTAGTACAAGGCTATTAACTGAACCCAGACATGGGGGATTTCACGAACATCACAGTTACGTCCCAGGATCCAATTCAGGGTCCAGGACTGCATTTAATCACGTCTTTTAAGTCTCCTCCGATCTGTGGGAGTTTCTGTCTTCTTTTTCATGATCTTGACCATAGTGTAGCTCTTAATACAGGCTGATTTTCTCTTTTTAAAAAGATAGCTATTTATTTATTTGGCTGTGCTGGGTCTCTGCTGTGACACGCGAGATCTTCGATTTTCATTGAGGCATGTGGGATCTTCAGCTGCGGCAGGTGGGATCTAGTTCCCTGACCAGGGGTTGAACCAGGCCCCTGAATGTGGAGCTTGAAGTCTCAGCCACTGGACCACGAGGGAATTCCCCAGGCTAACCTTCTTAGACACTGTAAGGATGATGTCAAATAGGTAGGGAAAAGGGAGATATGGATGAATGTAAAGGACTGCAGACAGAAACCAAAGCATGGATGATCCAGGCCCAAGGCTGCTCCTCTAAATGTAATGTCAGCTGGTCTGTAAGCGCCCTCTGGGTTGTAAGGTTTCCACTCCACTTCCACAGCTCAGAGCTGGATTTCTGCCGTTAGAGAGAAGAGGCCAATTTCATTTTCAACATGGGTATCTGCACAGACACTGCAGCTTCAGGGACTCAGGTACCTGGTGTAATGAGCTATGAATGGCGATATCCTATTCCTTTGGAATGTTGCCAGAGGATGGTCCAGTTTCTTAAAGGTTAAAGACAAAAAGAGAGAGAGACAGAAAAGACCTAAACCTACATAACGCCTGAAAACAGAGCCAATATTTGATGCAACCTATAAAAGCTCAGTTTCACCCCCAGCCTCCGCCGGCAGAAAGGGGACAATGCCACTGCTGGGACAGGAGCAACCAGCATGTCAGTGGCTACTCTGACATCTTTGGATTAAAGGTGCCCCAGACACTAGGGGCTTTAACCCTCCACCCTCCTGACCACCCGTGTGTTTAGACTAACAGATAGATGCATGGCAAATGGACACCAGTCGACAAGTAAAAAGTTCAATAGTCTAAAAACACCAACACCACCCTGAGGGGAACACAGCCTCCTCTGTGGGGTGGAGGCTGTGACTGAAAAGACAGAACCCTTGCACTGGACAAGCCACCACCTGCAGAATTCCTCGAGGGAGTGGTGACGCCAGCGCTGTGACCTGCTCTTGAGTTCAGTGAGACTTCTTCTCCACAGTATGAATAGTGGAGTCCATCTTCCTATTACATTAGGCACCAATACATCTCTTGTAAATATGTATCAGGGGAGGTAACTTCCTGTCTTTTCCTTCTATTGTCAGGGAAGGCTTAGTATTTATTTTTATTTCTGGCTGTGCCACATGGCATGAGGGACCTTAGTTCCCTGACCAGGGATTGAACCTGGGCCCCCTGCATTGGAAGTGCAAAATCCTAACCACTGGACCACCAGGGAAGTCCCAGGGAAGGCTTAGTATTAATATCAGTGCAAAAAAAGCCAATTCTGATGGATGAGAACTTGATTCCCTTAAAACAGTCTACTGAAAAATGTGAACATAAAAGCTTATCCAGTTACCACGTACAACTGCTTACATACTTCTATATTTTTATTATTATTTTAAAAATTATTTATTTGGCTGCACCAGGTCTTAGTTGCAGCATCTTAACTCTTAACTGCAGCATGTGGGATCTAGTTCCCTGACCAGGTATCGAACCTGGGCCCCCTGCATTGGGAGTGTGAAGTCTTAATCACTGGCCCACTGGGAAAGTCTCAGCCTACATGCTCTTAAAATCACTGCAGTGTGTGTGGTGCTTCTTTGTTTCTAACGGGGAGATGGTTTGGTCTTGTAATAGGAAACCATGATGTTTTGCTGGGAAGAAGTCACCCTGCTGTTCTACTTAGTGGGTACAATGAAAAGCCTAGACTCTGAGGAAGGGATGCATACGTGAGGCCTGAGGCTTTTCAGTGGCCTCAACTGCTGCCGTGAAAAACTGTAACCAACCCACGTCTTCAAAACAAAGGGAGCTTTAAACTGGGGCATGAAGTGTGAGGAGAAATTCAGTAAATACAATAGGAGTCTAGTTTCCTTTTTTGATGAAAAAAATTCTAAGCTATTAGATCTAACACTTTGCTACCACGAACAAAATGTGACACAATGCACTGCTACTTCCACCGAGCCAAAAGCCAGAAACCAAATGCTCACTGGGAGCTCACTGGGACTGCGGATGGGCCAAGGGCCGGACACAATAGGGCGTGGTGGGGACTGGGGCAAACTGGATGGTACAGTCAACAGCAGGGCTCCTCATATCTGGATCAACTGTTGGCTCAGAGGGGAATTTAGATACAGCGTTGTCAGACCTTCTGATTTTTCCAGAGAAGGTAAGATACTTTTATGTAAAGCTTCCCAAATTTAAAGTCAGCAACTACAGTTCATTGTGTGGACAACCAAAACATAGCTGTATGAAGAAAACGGCCTGTAGGCTACCAATGTTAAGCAGTGGAGAAACCCCATTTTGCTTCTCTTCTCATCTGTATGCAAAGGTCTTCAGAAGGTTTCATATCAGAAGAGACAGGCATACAGGTTTGAGACCAGGTTTGTCAATGAAGAAGTAACTCAACGACAGTTAACACTAACATCTACCAGAATTTCTTGGGCATTAGAACCAAGTTTCTGTAATGAAATTAAGTAATAACACCTACACGTTTTTATAGCCAATACAGAGTTTTACAGTTTTCAGATGAATTTCTCCACTTGATCTGCATATCATTATTTTTCAGATAATAACTTGGAAGCGTGAAGCAATCAAACAGCCTGCCCAAGATTCTAAGACTGCTCAGGAGCAGAGTGAAAGAAAACGGAACTTTCTTTTTTTGGCTGCTCTGGGTCTTCATTGCGGTGCATGGGCTTTCTCTAGTTGAGGTGAGTGGGGGCTACTCTCCAGTTGCAGTGCATGGTCTTCCCACTGGAGCATGGGCTTTAGGTGTGCGGGCTTGGGAGCTGTGGCCCACGGGCTTAGTTGCCCAGCAGCATGTGGGATCTTCCTGGACTAGGGATTGAACTCGTGTCCCCTGTACCACCGGAGAAGCCCAAATGGAAACTTCTGGATTTCAGTGATTGTTCTTACAAGGCATGGTGGCCCAGGTTATCTACTACATACACATTGCTATCTGTTTTGTTTTATTCTCTATAACACTCTAATAGTACAGCTCATTAGAGCTGGAAGGATCATTACAGAGAATTTAATCCAGTAGCTCTCAACTTTTCTCTGCTTCCTTTTTGTTCACATGCACAACTCTTAATATCACCAAACAATTCCTACGTGCAATTATAACCTCAGTTGGAGAGAGGCATTCAGGACCCTGGAGGGTAGAAGTGTGTGTGTGTGTGTGTGTGTGTGTGTGTGTGTGTGTGTAAGGATGTGTACATGTAGCAGGACCCTGGAGCGTAGAAGTGTGTGTGTGTAAGGATGTGTACATGTAGCCAGAACTGTACCCTTGCAGACACCCTCAGACCATCACCCCAATCAGCCTGTTCCCTCCCCGGGGTTAAAACTTACTGGTGTAGTTCATCCATCCGTTCCCCTGATGGGTTAGGAAACACCAGATAAGTTCGATGACCGACAGTCCCAAGTTCACAGAGCTATAAAGTGGCAAAGCCAAGTGTAAAATTCAGTCCCTTAAACCAAAAGATAAGGTGAAAAGGGGACTCTGACATCATCAGACATTCTCACAGGCCCCAGAGCAGGTTGCGGGGTTTTGGGGGCTGTTTTTGTGTAGCTGTTGAGGTGTTCCTTCCTGGGACACCAGGTGCAGAGCTTCTCTTACCTCCCAGCCTTCCATCTCCAGTCCTCTCTTGCCATAGATGTCGTAGATGGCCCTGGTCTGGGGGTCACTGAGCACTGCAAATGAAAAACCCAATGTGTTTACAAAGCACTGAGTCCTCTGCTTAGTCCTGACCACACCAGCAGCAGGCAAGCCTACCTCTCTTTGTCCTTCTCCTTCCAACCACAATCTTCCCAGAGACTCCGCCATTCCTGATGTATCTTTCCTTCTACTTCCCTTCCAGATCCAACTAAGAACGTGTTTAAAGGCGGCTCCAGGTGGGAAATGCTAGATTTTTCATGTCTGAGATACTCTTCTTTGTGAGGAGTGCTGACTCTGCATCACTAAAGGACAGTAGTTTTTAAAAAGACTGTCCTAAGTTTCTGTCACAGTCTATGGAGTACCTCGGCTTGAGAGAGCAAATTCCAGTTTCTAACAACGCCTAATGTAAACCTATGGACAGGCTCTGACTGGAAAAATCTGTCTTATTTACCCTATAGAGCTTCACTAGCTCCTACAACCATCTATGTAGGGTGTTTGCTTTTTTTTTGCACTTCTCTTCTTTATTTATAAATCATTTAAAAAGGTACAAACACCTGTCACTATGGTGTCGGCCATGTCACCTAAAGTGCATCAGAAAAATATTGTTCAATAAGAATGAGAGGGACTTTACTGGCAGTCCAGTGGTTAGGACTGGACTAACCTAACCTAACCTGCAGGGGGCCCAAGTTTGATACCTGGTTGGGGAACTAAGGTCCCATATGCTGCATAGTGTGGTGAAAAAATTAAATAAATAAACATTTTAAAACACTACATTAAAAAAATTAAAAGGATGGTAGGTAACTGACTCTGAACATCCATACAGCTATTTCTACTGGGCCAACTTCTGTTCAAGACCTTTGAATCTCCCCACTCTCCCCTACCCCGGCTCCTGAGAATTCCCATATATTTTTAGGTCTAATTAAAAAATGATGTAAATGACACTGTGTTGTGCTATGCTTAGTCACTCAGTCCTGTCCAACTCTTTGTGACCCTATGGACTGCAGCCTGCCAGGCTCCTCTGTTCTTAGGGATTCTCCAGGCAAGAATACGGAAATGGGTTGCCATGCCCTCCTCCATGGAAGCTTCCCAACACAGGGATTGAAGCTAGGTCCTCTGCATTGCAGGTGGATTCTTTACCATCTGAGCCACCAGGGAAATCCAAAAATACAAGAGTGGGTAGCCTATCCCTTCTCCAGGGGATCTTCCTGACCCAGGAATCAAACCCGGGTCTCCTGCATTGCAGGCAGATGTTTTACCAACTGAGCTATGAGGGAAGCCCGTGTAAATGACTCTATCCATATTCAAATCTAACAGGGAAGAAAGAAATGCTGACCATTGTAAAACCTGGGAGCCAAACTTCTTGAGCTGATTTCTAGGATTTAAGAAGGAATTATTTATTCACCACCTCAGTCTCCCTTCAGGCCAAATTCTGGAGCCAGGCCTGCTGCTACAGCATGTTCACAAGCACTGGAAGGCTCTTCTGCTAACCCTTCCCCAAATCTCCAAAACAACGTAACCCAATTATGAGGGTAATTCAAACAACCAAATACAAGATGAGGAACAAGCTGTATTCAGACCAGACAAATAGCTTGAACAGTTACATCTGGTGAAGACACAGACTGATTATACACACCTATGTGCCAGTCTCAGTTCTACTGGTCATTAAAATCTAACTTTTTGGTAAAACTATAGTGAAATACAGCAAAGTGCTTTCATGTCCACAATGAGAAATCTTTATACCATAAAGAAAATCTAATTTTTGGTCTGTTTAATTAAGGAGCAAATCACCAAGTGGCTCTGGAATAAATAACTTACTTTACTTGGCATATATCCTAACAGTGAGATCACATTTAACTTTAATTTTAAAAATTGTGGTTATAATATACACAACATAAAATTGATCATTTAAACCATGTGTAAGTGCACAATTCACTGGTTTTAAATATATTCATGATGTTGTATAACCATCACCATAATCTACTAGAATTGTCTCATCCTCTCAAACAGAAACTGTACCTATGAGTGATTTTACTATTTCATAAGCAAATATATTACAAAATTTTCTTTCTGAAATATATAAGAGGTAAGTATAAAAATTGGAATTACTTGATCCTATTTCCTATTATGCTTTTTAACATCATTTTCTTCCTTTTATTAGAACCTTTCCTTAAGTGAATGCTACAGAACCAAGAAAATCACTTTCAGATGGAAAAAATGTTCTTTGTATCTTCTCAAAAGAAAGGAACAAAGTAAGCTTGTCTGTAGCGATCAGCCTTTCACCTTTAAGAGTTCCCTTTAGAAGAAAACGAGTAAACGATTTAAAACTGGAGTATTCCCCTGCAATTCAGATCTGGGGCTATTACTTCACCTGCGGTCTCATTTTCTATTTACTGGACATATATTGATTTCCAAAGCAAAATACTACTCTTTCAAAGGACCCTGTCAGTAAAAGCACTAAACTAACCGCCTCTTTTATGCACCTCGAAGGACTTTCTTTTTCTATCCTCTACAAATCAAGCCTCTTAAAAATCGAGTGTCTGCTATAAGACACTGTTGTTTCTACACTGGTGCTTCTACAGAGCCAAGCCCCACACTGACCTTCATAAGCCTGGTGAACGAGGTTAAACAGTCGCTCGGCCTGCGATTTGAGCTCTGGGTCTCTGTGCTTGTCCGGGTGGTAAAGCATACACAGCCGCCGGTAGGCTGCTTTCAGCTCTTCACAAGAGGCCTGCAGGAAAGAAAAATCCAATTAGAAGACAATCGATGAGAGTTAAATATTATCATGATCAGAATCAGCCTTGAAATGGGAAGCTATCAGCCACGTTCCAACATGTCTGCTGTCTACATGCAGGATATAATGAAGTTATGCTTTATTACTTCAATAAGGCCTCTTTTTTCCAGTTAATAAAGCGATCAATTATGTACATCAAAAGCAACTGTGTTTTGCTGGGAAATGCTGCTATCAGAATGAAAGCGTGTGTCCCCCCCTGGTTCTCTGCGCTCTTAGTGAAAATGGGAATTGTCACAGAGACCTGCTTTCTCTTTAACCCAAGTCATGCAAAGTCGATTGTGCCAAGGTACTCTCAACAGAGACTGTTCAGAAGGGGAGAAGAGCTATAAACCATCAGAAAGAAATGCCATGCATTTACTCGGTCTTCAGACAAAGGAAACTCAGTGAATATTCATCCTTAAAAAATCAAAGACATAAAATTATCAAATCAACACATTTCTATTCAACTGCTAATTCTAAAAGGAAGCACACAAAGCAGGCAAAAATACTTCACTATCTGTAGTAAAAACAAGCCTCCCCACCCACAGCACCCAAAGGCTCAACACATACAACTCTCCAACTCCTTTTTATTTATTTATTGGCTGCCCCAGGTCTTAGTTGTAGCACTGGGAACTTTGATCTTCATGTTGGCATGTGGGATCTAGTACCCTGGCCAGGGATTGAACCTGGGCCCCCTGCCCTGTGACCCGGGTTCAATTCTTGGGTCAGGAAGATCCCTTGGAGAAGGGAATGGCTACCCACTTCAGTATTCTTGCCTGTAGAATTCCATGGACAGAGGAGCCTGGTGGGCTATAGTCCATGGGATCACAGAGAGTCGGACGTGACTGAGCGACTCACACTTTCCCTTTCCCCTGCACTGGGAGCGCAGAGTCTTAGCCACTGGACCACCAGGGAAGTCCCTCTCTAACCTTATATGTAATTAGTTTGAGGGGAGAACATGCCATAAGAGGAGCACATGTGACACAGAGTACAAGCAGGCTCTGGGTGTGTTTGAACAATGCAGAAGGGAGGAAGGAGGAGGGATGACAGAAACCCGCTCTCTACCCTGCCTGACTCAGCCACCAACAACTCCTCAGCAAGAGTCTTCACTGGAGGCTCTACAAACACCACACCACCTCTGGTGCCGCCTTGGCTGGGCCCTCGGGTGTGCTCTGGGAAAGGACAATGTCTGATTTCATATCAACCTCAGGGACCTTTTTAGTCTATCAGAGGTGATACCAAATGTGCAGCTTTGTCAAATGATTTGTTTTTAATTGGAATATAATTGCATTACAATGTTGTGTCTGTTTCTGCTGTATAGCAACGTGAATCAGCCATGTTGTTGTTCAGCTGCTAAGTCTTGTTGGGCTCTTTTCGACCCCATGGACTGCGTGCATGCCAGGCTTCCCTGTCCTTCTCTATCTCCAGAAGCCTGCTCATATTCACAACCATTGAGCCAGCGATGCTATCTAACCATCTCATCCTCTGTTCCCCCACTTCTCCTCCTGCCCTTAATCTTTCTCAGCATCAGGGTCTTTTCCAGTGAGACGGCTCTTTGCATCAGGTGGCCAAAATATGGGAGCTTCAGCTTCAGCACCAGTCCTTCCAATGAATATTCAAGGTTGATTTCCTTTAGGATTGACTGGTCTGATCTTCTTGCAGTCCAAGGGACTCTCCAGAATTTTCTCCAGCACCACAATTTTGAAAGCATAAATTCTTTAGCACTAAGCCTTCTTTATGGTCCAACTCCCATATCCATACACATATACAGATGTCCCCTTCCTCATGAGCCTCCCTCCCACCTAGACCTCATCCTACCCCTCTCAGCCATCACTGAGCTAAGCTCCCAGGGCTTTACAGCAGCTTCCTGCCAGTTATCTATTTTACACACGGTAGTGTGTGTACACATCAGTGCCTCTCCCTGATCTGTACCACCCTCTCCTCCCCTCCTCCCTCTCCACAAGTTCTCCACGTCTGCGTCTCTATTCCTGCTCTGCAAATAGGTTCATCAGTACCATTTCTCCTAGATTCCGTATATATGCAGTAAAATGTGACATTTTTTTTCTCTTTCTTAGTTTGCTCTGTATGAGTCTCTAAGTCCATCCACATCTCTACAAATGACTTAATTTTGTTCCTTTTCATGGCCTAGTAACATTCCATTGTATGTATCTATCACATCTTCTTTATCCATTCATCTGCTGATGGACATATAGGATGTCCAGGTGATTTGTCAAGTAAAGAATACTTTATTTTGGGAGGCAACCCCACCATTTTGACAACAGAAGCAAATTCTGGGTCACTGATAACATGCCAGAGGGGCCTGGAAAGCCAGCCGTCCAGGTGGAGGATGGGACCAGGTCCACAGTGAGGATGCTGAGGAAGGACGGGAGCTCTGGGCCCTGGAACATAGGAAAGCGGTCATAGTGTGTGACAAACCAAGGCATCAAGATTACAAGGGATGACGTCAAACTGAATTTTTCTGTAATTTCCACCTTTTTCAATATCTTCCAATTCCAGGAGTAATGAGTGCTTCTGTTGTTGTGCCCTTGTTTGTGAAAATTTACTAAGCTGCATGCCCATGATGCGGACTCTTCTATGCATATGTTCTATTTCAATAAGAACACAAGACTCCAGGGACTTCCCTGGTGGTCCGGTGGATAAGACTCTGGCCTTCACTGCAGGGGGCTTGGGTTTGATCCCTGGTGAAGGAACTAAGATTCTGCATGCCCTGCCTGCAGTGTGGCCCAAAACAACACTCCGTGGAAGAGAGGGGCCTCAATGCTCCCATCTCTGTGGTTCCCCTTTCTTTTTCCCACCATAGGCCTCTTTTTACACTTATGTCAATTAATTATACATCACATTCCTTGCCACAGTTAGCAAGATGCCATCTGCACCAAGCTCCAATGTTTTAAGTAAATAAAGAACAGCTAACCAGTGGCAAATTCAATGTCTTCTCCAGATAGGTTTACTTATGTGATGACGTAAAAGGGGCTTGTTCCTTCCTGAGGAGCCATGATGAATTAGTCTCTTTCTTCAAATTTTAATTGTTCTTTCCAGCATCTTATAAAAATTACAAGTGCAGGATTAGATATATTTGACTGACTTTAGGTTAGACTGCTATTTCCTCATTGTAAAAAGTAAACCAGAAGAAAGGGAGTAGAGTACCTAGTTTGCAATACCTTCTTTAGTCAAATTAATACATGGCTTAATGTGCTATTGATTAAGTAATAGAAACAAGAAGTTTCATTTTTAATAAATATCACATTCAATAAAAGGTTAGATTGAGCCTTTTATCATAACTGAACAGCTAAGGTCACTGGTTCGATATTTCATAAATGATAAACTCTTTCACTATCATAAAAACACTGATATCAGAGCTTCCCTGGTGGTCCAGCAGTTAAGACTCTGTGCTTCCAACACAGGGGGCATGGGTTCAACCTCTAATTGGAGAACTAAGATGATACATGCCACTTGGCATGACCAAAAAATGAATAAAATAAAAATGCTGATGATATTTCAAAATATGTGATAACATTAAAAATGATACCTCAAATTATATACTTATTCCTAAAATTGTATATAAAATTAAGTGATGTATCATGCTATAGGTCGGAAAAGTTTCATCATCTCAATCATCTAGTTACAATTTTAATGGGAAGTAAATCTAATATAAATTCAATCTTTATATATCATAAAATTCACAGTGAAAAGATCCCTAGAGACCTGTAGAGTTTAGTGGTCTGTTAAAACTGCTGGATTAGATGCTGTACAATACAAAATTGCAATAAAGCACAAAAAAGAAATTCAAGACAAACATATTAAAAAGCTAAAATGTCTCTACGCAGTTGTCGTCTGTGTACAAAATCATAAAGTCTATCAGAAAACCTACTAAGTGATTTTTTAGCAAGGTCACAGGATACAGGATCAATAAACATCAATTTATTTCTATATATTAAAAGCTGAAACTTGGTATCACTGACAAACATGAACTACTAAGGGATAAACTGAACAACTACAAGACCCACACTCTGAAAGCTACAATGCACTGCTGACAGAAATGAAAGACGACCACAAATCATGGCATGATAAGCTACCTTCGTGTATCAGAAGATTCAGTATTATTCAGATGTCAAAGTTCCCCAAAGCAGCCTACAGATTCAATGCAATCCAATCAGAATTCCAGTAGGCTTTTCTTTGGGTAGAAACTGACAAGACAATTCTAAAATTTATATGGAAAAACAATATGGAGCAAGGAGAAATTTTACTTTCCAGTTATTTTATTAACCAAAATAACTTTGAGGAAGAACTGGAGGACTCACAATGCTGGACTTTAAGACTGCTCTGGTAATCAAGACAGCGTGCGACCGGTAAAAGAACAGATGTACATAAATCAGTGGACCAGAAGGGAGTCCACAAACAGACCCCCATATATATGGTCAGGTGTGCAATATAAGGTAATGCAATGCGGAAAAGATAGTTTTTCAGTAAATGATGATAGAAGAAAGGAATATTCACATGTGGAAAAATGAACCTTGACCTTTACTGTGAGATACTGGGACCTGCCTGGTGAAATGAAAGGACACGACAGTAACTCAAAGCCACATGAGGAAATTAAGATCTCAGAAAAGGAAATACATGGGCAATTATAAAAGCTAGTATTATTACAAAAACAATTTGCAACTCTACATCTTGTTTTCTCAATGATTTCAGACACTAACACATTTTAAAAAAAAGATTGATCTAAAAGGAACTCCAGCTTATAACTTCATGTTTTGTTTCTACATAATTTAAGAAACTAATGCATTCTAAAAAACAATCACTAGTTTATTTTTTAGACACATAATATGTAAAAATGTAATTTTATGACATCAATAACTGAAAGAGGTAGGACAGAGTTGCAAAATAAAAGTTGTGGTAAATTATTCAAGTTAAACTGGAATAAGATCAAATTAGAGTGT